TCAATGATAATGATCATAATGGAAATCGAATGATCACATCGATAATTAATCCATTCTATTGTGATGCTGACTGCGAATTCATGCTGATCAGATATGTTCTTGAAAAATGCTCCCTTAACTCATAGTGGAAGGAATCCCATAACAAAGCGTGTATCCGTTCCTTTCTATAAGTCTGTAAACTCATCTTCAGTATCAATTTCAACAGTGAAACGCATAGCTTCATTCGACACAGCAATCTCAAAGATAAGCGTTTTTTTGTGCAAAACAAAATTAGACTTTCAGCCGAAGCAATAATAATGTATCAAAACAAGTCGCTAAATAACCTTATCATCTGGTGAAAATTTCGTTGACATCAGATTGATACGATTATCGAGTGAACGCTGCTAATAAGAATAATTTTCGGAGTGCATCCCCAAATATTTCTGATTAGATATTGCAATGCATAATCGTGCTGGTGATCATGGCAAAGCAAATGAAAAACTGCGAAATAGAATTTTCATTGAAAGGAACAGTGGAAAACCATCTGCAAACCATTTTGAGAAAAACTGAATAAGCAATCTTATCTTTGAAGCCGTAAAATAATCCGAAAAACAAAGAGTTGCTGCACTTTTGTTTTGAATTCGACTCAGAANCATGCATAAAAGGATCGACCGGAGCATGTTTGGCATCATTCAGTTCATTGCCCGACTTCTCAATCAACCCTACAACCGATATCAGTAAGTTATCTTGATCCTTTCATAACATAGTCATTATGAGGCATTTAGAAGTATTTTAAATCAGCGAATAACTCGAGTCATGATCAGTGTCATTGACTTATTCGTAAGACTGGATTCATTTGGGCTATTTCGCTTAGGAATTTTAATGGACGGTAGGAAGACCAAAAAAAATCCCAGGAGACCAGGCGAGTAAAAAATCTCAGTAGAGTTTAGGCAGGAGTTCCACTCAAATTGATGGAAGGAAGAATTTCGAGGATGCTGCGATGTTCGCAAAAATGAGCTGATAGGTAATTGTTCTTCATTAGAGGTAAGGTGATCAATAGTGATTCACTATCATAAGATTGGTGTGTGCAGTCCAAGACAGACCTGTAGTCGCTGGGTTGATGAGGAGGCTTGATAGCAACAAATTTTAGATCAGCCCTCTCATTGTTTTACAAGATAAGAGTATCTGTGAATGGTGTAGTACACATAGACCGTTTAAACAAAACTGTTGCCCTCCCAAATCTGCAATTCACATCTTGAGGTATCAGCATCCGGCCACTGACTTGCATTAGGAAATGATCATAATATTTAAAATTATACTGTTTTTCAGAAATGGTCTGCGTTATTGACACCACAAGAGGACAACAAGTAACCCAATACAGACCCTGTGTTGGTACCAAAAGCAGCGGAACAATGCTTCAGCATACCATCCGTTCCGACACGATGTCGACGAAAACAATGCGAGGTGGCACCGGATTCGGAACCCGAGGTAGCAGCGGATCCGTACTCATTGAATATCTCGTCATAAAGAGTTGTGGAGGACGTGGCGGAACCCTCAACATCTGAGCGCTTCATTCAAGTTTTGAAGACCTGAACTCTTGAAACGGCCACTCAGACAAACAACTGCTTACAAAAATCTTTCTGTAGGCATTAAATCACTCCTTGCAGTATTTTTACTAAAATTTGTAATTTTCTGCGAGCGTCAAGTCAACCAATATCACAATTTC